ATGCGGCAAACCAGCCGACCAAACCAATGGTCGCAAAGGATGATTCCGAGGTACCGCCACGAAGCGGCCCCCATCCAGCTGGATCGCCGACCAACATACCCAACGAACGGGTTATTTCAACGTCAAGCCGACCTTCGCCAACTGGAAGCGAGTCGACTCGAGCGACAGAAGCTCAACAAACGGTGAGGTCGACCAGGGCGCCAACAAGTTAACCTGTCGACCTGAAGGTCAAACCGTCAGCACTAATGTTCGAACCTGGCAAACTTGGTTGTGAGAGAACCCCGTCACCATCGGAAGAAGTTTTTGACGCAACAAATGCGCCACGTCCCAATAGTGCGGACGGATTTTTCACAACACCGGTGAAGTCCCACATGGACGACAACAGGTACCAAGCCTGTGCGCTCGAATATACGGCAAAGAAGTGGATTGCGGCTACACCGCCTAAGATCGAAGATATCGACCTACTCCGCGCAAGATGCCGTTAACTGATCACGCAGATCGTTTTGGCAGACCAGATTGTCAATTCAGCGTAAGGTTCAATCTCACATTCCGAAGACACCTATAAACTCGAACGGAATAGATGGGAACGCGATATGTTCGACGCTAACGAAGCCATCGCCACTCAACAACGCGAAACCGACCAATTGAACGCCATACTCAAACGAGTCGACCAACCGTGTCGATATGACTTAGACGAAGTTACCTTACTTAACGGTAGGCTGGAGCGGTCAACAGCGGCCTTCTTCGAGCTGAAGCGCGAACTTGACGAGTCGCAGAAAGCACTTGCCGAAGCACAAAAAAACTGGCCGATGTACAAACAGCATTGGTCGCCTCGGAAATGGCAGCAGGAACGATGCCGATGAAATGCCGATGGAAGCATCGGCAACTGAACCAGGCTAACGAAGAAGCCGAGGTCTATCGAAACGAAGTCGATAGATATATAGTCGAACTTAAACCGACAAGGAGGTCGACCGGCAACACAAACATATCGACCGACTACAAACGGAGGTGGAAATCCTCCCGGCCAGAACCGGGCAACAGTTCATAGACCAGCATAGTCGGCAGTCGAGCTCTCCCAACCAAGGGTTATCCAACGCCGACCTCGTACAAGCGAATGCCTAGCAGACCGACCAGGTCCACGGACTTAACGACGTCCTTAGTAGAAACGCGGAAGAAAAGAAGAGCAGAAACTCCGAGGTCAGCTGGAATACAACTTGGCTGAAGCCCAAAAGGTGAACGAGGCGCAACGAAGTCGCATCGGTTACCTGGATGCCCGAACTTTACGACTTCGGTAAACAGGCTGCTCAGCACATCACATGGATGATGCGGCAGATGGATGAAATGGACACTGGAATAAGGTGTCTGATGGAGGAAAAGAAGCACCTGGAACAAAGCCGGGCTGAACCTCCTTCGTACCGAACATCCATGGCACAGGACTATCACCCGTCGCAAACGATACGCGACATCCTGTAGGGCACTAATCCGACCGAGAACAGTACGGACAACCGAATCCGGCGCCGACGCCAAAGATGCAACAAGCACCTGTTCAGCCACTGACCTGGGCAGGAACGATAGCGATGAGCCTGAATCCCCCGGCACCTGGAACTGGAGTCCCGGCTAACAACTACGGAGGCGCAGGTTATAGTCCGGGAGGTAACTAAAACAACACAGATTTCGGCTACAACCAGAACTCTGACTAGGGATACTCCGCATATGGCCAGTATCCTACACAAGGAAATGGCGGCGGAGGCTTGGGTCGCGGAAGAGGACGCGGTGGCGGAAATAGCGGCAGTGGTAACTTCCCGAACCACGGCGGAGGCGGAAATCAACAAGGGAACGGACCTCCCCAAGCACAACAGAGTGCTAGGCAGGCGACAACATATGTCGATAAGATGGAGGCAGCCTTCTTCCAGTGGACGAAGGGCAAGACCTTCTCATGCAGACATTGCATGTTCAATAACCATGACAGAGCAAGTTGAGGATACGCCGCCAACGGACCAGCTAATAACCCGAACCTTCGCTGGTACGACGATTGGTATCGCCGATATACGACGCAGGGCCTAATCGGCTCGGATAATCCATTTTGGAGGGATATCGTGCCACCACCGCGCCCTCGCTAGCAACAGGCTAGTGGCTCGGGCGGCTCCGGCAACGGAGCCGGTCGACTAGCCAAGGAAATGCCGGAAACTACAGGAACAGCGGCGGGAACCAACAAGGGTTCCCGGCATATAGAGGACCGTTGCTGCCTCGCCAGTCTCTGAACTTGACGCCGCCCAACAATGGGCCGGCTCGGGGCAATTCCCCGGGAAACGCCTAAGGTCGATTAGCTCCGGTGCCTCATTCGACCTCTAACATCCCACCGAACCACCGGACAAGGATAACCCGACTAACCAGCCGATTAATTACCGGAACGAATTGGACTTCCCCATAACGGTCGAGGAAGGCACTCAACAGATAGAAACCATCCTCCAACTACTTGGACTGAACGAAAATATTTCCGAGGATGACTTCGCAAAAGCGATGTCGACCTCCACAAAGGAGGCGGTGACGGCTCGGGACGTTAGCCGCTCAGCTCGGCGTGTACGTCAACAATGGCATCGTCGAAGCTTGGCCCGAGATACAACAAGTACTCAAGGCAACCGACCCAGCGCATCAACTTGGCGTTGGAACGTCGGAGTCGGAACGCGAAAACCGCCGGGCCTATGCAGCGCAAACAATGCGACTGCGCCGTCCGCCACACAAAGTGACGTAGTACGGCCCGGTCATGGAATTTGGACCGGATTGCCGGTGAGAAGAAACTCAACCGAGCAACCCAGACGAGGCTCAAGACGTGGAGGATCGGGACGCCGATCCACGCACAGGGGCAACAGAAACTTCCCCAATGTATCATCCGCACGCGCAACGGATACGCTGCGACAATGGCAGCAATCGACCTCACCGAAGAACCCAGAGAAGTCGAAATATGGAACACATTCCCACTGGAAGCACAGGCACCCGCCCACTGGCTGCAACAGGTAGCGGACCTCTTTCAGTCAAAGGAGCAACCAGCAAGAACAGTAGCTGGCTCCCGAACATTCCTCAACCCCGACTACATATGGTCGAAGTTAAGGCCGACGGAAGTCAAAGTGGAGGAATGGAAACGTAAACAGGCACAACGGTTTGGAACCGCCGAAATACCGGAGGACGGAATAGCTAACCGACCCAAGGTACAAGAAGTGGTTGAAGTCGGAGTTGAACCTACACAAGGTTCACAACAGTTAGCCGACCACGGACCCGTGTCGTTAATTCCCGTCACATCAACAGTACGGGAAGTCACCTTTGAGAAGGGAACGCACAAGAAATCAAAGACGGTTAGAGCTTGGACACATGAAATCCAAGTCGAATCCACGCCCACATTGGCGATGTTGGATACCGGAGCGGAGACTTTGCTCATCAAGCAACGATTTTGCGAGAGGAACGGTCTAACGATGCAACCCGTCGGACATAACTTAAAAATACTCGGTGCACGCGGACAAGTCGCCTTCATGGTGTCTCATTGCTGTACTGCACCTGTAACGATGCAGGGATTTACGAGTCCCCATACATTTCACGTCCAGCTGAAAGAAGCGGACATTCCAGTGCTACTCGGGTGCGACTACCTGCATTCGAAGTTCACCGTCTTAACACCAACATCTACCACGGAACAACCAGGAGGAGGGCGGTAGTTCTTTCTATCCCGATACCAGAGGCATCGGGCACGGCAATAAGTGAAGTTAGGGTAAACCAGCTTGGCCAGCTGACGGAACCTTCGCGTAAAATTTGCTGTGACTGCCGAAGCAATAATCGGACTCTGCTCGAGGAACTGAAGCTGCACAACGCCATCGAAGCGTACGAAGGACAGAAAAGCACCGGTACACTACGACCTTTGAAGAAAATACTAAAATCTATCCAGACACCAGAGGCATCCGCTGATGCGGATGCGCTGAACCTAGAAAAGGTACGACAAAAGTGCCGACCTTGCTTCTAGGGAGTTCGACACTTTCTCGACCAACGGACGTTGGAGATGGTGGCGACTCTGCAGCAGAACGAAGCGGCAACTTACGATGGGATACGAGAAGCGCAACAAAGTTGCGAACCTGTAATCGCCCTCACGAACGATATAGGGGACGAAGCATGGGAATGGGAAGACGAACGAATCCCTATCCATCGACAATACATTGAATACGGACTTCCAGTACCACGTCCGCTAGAAATGCCATGCCAGGAACTAGACTTCAACTCTTCGCCTACATGCAGCAAGTACAGTTGTACGGAGAATCGTTAACAACTGCATTTTAGCAACGGTACAGCGAGGACACCGCTATAACACGGCAAATCCTTGACCCGTTACCACCTGTTATAGAGCACTCATCGAAAGACGTGAAATTTTTGAGTAGCCCGGTAGAGCCCCAGGGAAACGTGTTCCTGGAAGAAACCGATAAACCCTATCGGTGTATCATCTGTCAAGACAATATTAACGGAGTGATACGAGCGATAAAGACTCATCACGACATAACTTGGTCGGGCGACAGACCGTCGTCACCGTCACCTCCGCCACCGGAACGGAAGGTAGATCGCTTTCGGAAGACTCTACCGACAGTCATCCGATGGCTGATCAACATATACTCACAGCCAGTTGACCTCAAGAATCAAGACGGAGCGAATCGACCGACCAAACCGACGGACACTGCCGATCAACGTCAACCGACCACACAGGTCGAAGACGGTCACACACCGCAGGTCGAACATGAATACGGAAAAGCCGTAGAAAACAAAGACTATGAGTCGGACGGCTCGGATGTACAAAGCACGAGCGACTCAGCGGACACAGACTCCGATAACCGACCTTCGGAAGAATCCGAAGAAGATTGTGACGAAGAATTCGACCCGTCAGTCCGACATTGTAAGACGGATAAACCGAGAAAAGACGATTCGGATGAATCGTCATCGGAAGACGAAGAACCGACCTTCGATGTCCGGCTAACTGCAGCATTGCGGTCTATAATTCACAGAGAATTTATAGACAAAGATTTACCGGAACAAACCGAACAGGAAAAACCGGTCGATCCAGAACAACAAGCGGTACTCGACCAACTTAAAATCTTGTGGAAATTTGGAGGAGATCAATTGGAAGAAGACGATCTCCGACCTCCAACCATAGTCGTCCAGCAGTGGTCAACAGAACAACCGACCTCGGTTAACTTGGCCGACCAACAGAAGTCAGTGCAGTTCAACACATGGAAGGCACGGATTGCGAAAGTCATGACGGTCGAAGAGGTTAACCTGGACAACAAATGCCCAGAAGCTCACCACCTGGCGTTGGACCCATTCATGGATTCTAAGCCGCTAGACCGACAACTGGTCTTTAATAGCGAACGAGTATCTCTCTCACCTAGGTCGACATGTTCTGTCAAGGTACGGACGGCCAAACCAATGGACTTGAGAAGACACTCACTTCGTCACCTTACGGCGGAAAATTCGAGCTGTACGGCCAATTGAAGCCAGGATCGAAATCCGACTTCAGATAGATACGGCCTGGATAAACATCCAGAATACGACCCACCAACCGAAGATATTAAAGAAGGGCGTACGACTTGGCCGCATGCAATACAGCGATTTCTACGAACCGGACATCGACAATGAGCATGTTATTTGGAAGCTCCCACTTGGAGTAACCAAAACTTGGCCGACCAAACCAGAGCCAAGACCATCACCGAAGTTTGAGATTTTCGAGGCGACAAGAGTTCGATCTCAACGGAAGGTCAAACTTGAACCTGGAGCCATAACGATGGAAAAAGTCGTCATGGACGTAGCAGTACCCACCGGACAGAAACTTATGTACCTGGGTGGATCCGACCCCAAACCAGACTTAGGAGAAATGATGGACGGCGTAACCAAACATGAGGGGAAACGATTCGGGTATGGGCGGTGCAGAAATTCAAGCACTTCATCGACCACGGACCATTTACCGTAAGGACGGAAAATCGAGCATTGCAGAACCTCCTTCGATGCGAGACGAACCGACCTGGCTTCAACCCTCGACTAACGCGATGGGCACTGGTTTTACAAGGACGGGACATAACCATCCAGTATAAGCCAGGAGTATTCTGCGACAGTGCAGATGCCCTGTCGAGATGGCCACTGGAGCGCAGTGACGACAAAGACCCACACGAAGAGCTGGATCAAGTCCCCAACTTCGAGGACTTTAAAGACGAAATCAAGGTCTGTACAATACGGACTCTTAGACGTCTGAAGAATAACGCATGGAAGAAGAAGCGAAAGGATAAGGAGAAACCACGGAAAATTCCGCTTCCCCCGGTCCTTCCCGGATGTAACGCTGTATCCGACTGGCATGACTTAAGTACCACAGAGGTACGAGTCATCAACATACCAGCACCGGAGACACCAGAACCGACTGTTCGGATGGTCAACACGGCGGAGGAGTCGGATGAGTTGGATGTTGAAGAAACACTTCCACCACTGCCCGAACCGAATGCTGACCTTCGGAAAGCGCAGCTGCGAGACCTGCAACTACGCAAAATAATCGACGAACTGGAAAACCCTGAGAAACTTGACCATAAGTCGAAATATCGGGAACACTTCCAGATGGCTCAAGGAGTGTTGTACCGACCGAAGATGATCAACACAAAGTTGGAACGATATTTCGTCGTACCGCTCTTTATGCGAAATCAAGTTATCCGATCGCACCATGACGGAAAAACCGGAAACCACTTCGGACGGGAGAAGACGATCGAAGCACTTAAGTTGCGTTACTATTGAACAAGGATGAATAGCGACGCCATCTCATACATTGAGAAATGCCGACAGTGCATAATGACGAATATACCCCGATGTCCGCCACCGGGTAAACTTCAAAAGACGGAGGTCGACGAAGCCTGGTATCGCGTTTACGCGGACTTCAAAAGCCCCCTGCCTCGGACGGAGACGAAGGGATACCAGTACATCGCAGTGGCAACCGCCCAGCTGACGAAATTCTCCGTCGCCCGGGCAACGAAAACCAACACCGCGAGAGTTTTCGAAAGGTTCTTCGTGAAAGACGTCCTACTGAAGTATGGAATGCCGACTTTCATCCATTCGGACAAAGAGACACACTTCACGGCCTGGGTCGCGCAGATTATTGGCATCCAACACACACTTGGAACTGCCCACCACCCAGAAGGACAAGGACAAGTCGAACGGCAGATGCAGACGGTATGGAACGGTATACGAAATTTCTGCGACGTAAAAGACGGACACCGTTGGCACAGAGTCTTAGACTATGTCGTCTGTGGAATGAACCGAGCAGTCCACGCCGCGACGAAGTTCTCACCGCTCTACATGCTATACGGTCGAGAAATGACCATGCCACAGGACATAGTGGCCGGAACAAACACACCGCGTCAACCGCGCTCGTCGTCGCGATCAAACAATTCGCGGTCGGCCACACAAACGCTATTACCGCAGATAGAAAATACCAATGCTAACGTAACAGCTAATGTGTTAGCAGGTCTTTCGGTCGGGCCCCAACGTGGAACGGAACATCGACCAATACCGCCACAGAGCCTGCCACCGAACACATCGGTCGATACATGGTCTAATGACGCCTCATCACTGGCCGGTGCCGACTACAATAGTCAAACCGATCAGCCCAGCATCAACAATGATGACTGGACCAGTCTACCCGACACCCACAATGGTGCCCAGGATGGCGAACGTATCTGTTTCAATTTATCCGGCAACCACACTGGCGCCAGGGTTGGGTAACACAGCGGGACCAATTTACACGACGCCCAAATTTGTGTATGGTGTATAACGGACCGCCAATTCGGTTTGTACCGATTCCGCCGACGCGCGAAATGGCATCTTCAACGAAACTGGCAGCAATCAGCGTGGTCGGCCCGAACAACACAATCTCGCCGACTCAGCTCGGGCATTCCGGACAACAGAATGTGTGGAATAACCCAAACGCGACGGATTATCTGCTCGATCGACTGAGTCAACACAGAAATCAGGTTGGAGGACAGAACCCACAAGGAACTGTTTCGACGACGACTACACAAGTCGTAACGTCGATGCCTTTACCGCCTGTACCAGCCCTACCGATCCCACCTATGAGCAACAATCTACGATCTGACGCGGAACTGCGTTACCAAACCGATATGGCTCATTCTCAGATCGCGGCCCCTTATATAATGGCATGCTCAATGATTTCGCCAGGCCGTTTGCGCTGGCGAAAGGCCTGGCTTTTTGCTCCGCATGGTCATCAATTTTCTGATGAGGATGGTCCGTTCCTGGACCAGCAACTGACAGCCTCGATTGATGCGGTCAATCTCATGGTCAGTCAAGGTGGGACCGCCGGCGCGTAATCGCTGGCGTATATTCTCCTCACTTAAAATTAGGCGTAGATAAACTTCTATGATCTCGCCGACGACTTGCTATGCAGGTCCGATTATGTTGAACCCGTTTGGGTCAACCGGATACGATGCCTCGTTGGGGGCTCGTCCCGCAGCGGTTGCGTTGTCCCTGACGGAACTGCTGGTGCTTTCGGTGGTGAAAGGACGTGTCCTTTGCCAGGAAACTTCTTTGGCGGTGACTTCTTCTTGGCCGGTAGGCCACGAAGCGTCAAAGTCGATGGTTCAGTCGACTTTGGTTTGAGTATGGACGGGCCATGCCTGGTGGGGCCAGGAACGTCTAAGTCCTTTGGCGGGCCACTCCACGATAGTGTGGTGGTCCTAGTTGGACGATTCAACTCCCCGTCCTCACGCGGTCCTCTCCATGGTGGGAGTGACCGTTGCGAAGGAGGCTCTTCTGCTTCAAGCAGAGTCCTCTCCTTCGTTCTAAACCTGGGCGATTGTGGGCCGCTTGTTGTGGCAGGAGTAGCCGTCCTTTCTGGCGTGCGCTTTCCTCCTATCGATTTCCTGGCTGTTGGCCGGACAACAAGGGTGCCGCCAGAAGTATCGCCTTCGATTGGTTTCGGCGTAGTCTGTGATGACGCCGTTGGCGCATCCACAGCCATTGGACTTGTCGGTTCACCAGTCGGTTGGGCTGGTGTCGGCTTCTCCGGCGAGAGCTCGAAAGTTTTGTCGAGCAAGCTCACATCACTTTCGATGTCCTGCGGTGGAATGTGTATACTGGCGTCCGCAGGTTGGCTTGATGTTGGACCAGGCACCGTTAGGGCCTGGGCCGATTCAGCTGAAGTTAAGTGTCCAGCTGGTGCTAGGGCGACCGGTTCATAAGTGATGGCTAGCGTCGTTGGCGCTGGCGCTGGTTCTGGTCGCCATTCGTTGACTGGATCGAAGTCACCGGGTCGTTCCGTCGTTGCCGGGCCAGGTCGTTGGACCTTCCAGTAATCTTCGATGAACTCACGGATCCATCTTGTAGTATGGTCCAAAACGGTTAACGATTCGCCGGTTGGCGTCGTATTGTTCAGAGTGAGATCACTGAGCAGAGCCAACCGGTGGGAAAGGCTCTGCGGCTGTTCTATCAGCCTAGCCGCTTCTGGGTCGAATGGGCTGAGGTCCTGTATGCGAATAGTCATGCGACGATCAATTTCATTGGCGTCTCTAATAAGGTTTCTGTTTCTCAGCGCCTGAAGGATTGTCATCTTGATGGGCCCGGTGTCAGCGGCGCGCAAGCGTTGGTTCGCCGCTGTTTGTCCATCGTCCCAAATCTTTCAGCCGAGATGCGCATAATATCCAAAAACCAACGTCTCAACTCCTCCGCCGGTTGGCGTGTTGAAGACTGTGTCGGCGTCAAGAGTCCAACTTGAGCTTCGCGTGATGGCTGTCCCGGTCGGGGTTTAGGCAACACGCGCCGGCGCCGCATTGCTTCTTCGATCGGGCCAAGCTGATATTGCCGGTTGCGGAAGTCACGCAACGCTGGCGCGTCATTGGCTGTGTTCAATGGATTCCAGGACGCGCAGAAATTCCAAGACCAGCGCGACTTTTCTCCGTATAGTGGCAATGTTCACGCTCTTCAGACTGCTAATGGTTTTGCGGATTTTCTCTAGGGCCTTCTTGGCGTGAAGTTTGCGTTCCCGGGGTGGTATATCTCGATAAGGCCTTAGATCATACGGAGATGATGCAGGTTCACGCTGTTCCAAACCAGTGACCGTAAACAGTGCCTCGCCGGTAGACGTAGGCTGGGCTACTGGTGGCACGGATGATTCCCTGTCGTAGTGGTTACTACGACTACTGGGTTTAATGGGGGAGGTGGTGCTGATGGCGCTGGCGCTGGTCGGGCGGGAGCCGTAGATCCTTCTGTCCTTTGATGTCTCGCCGTCCGGTGCAGTACCAGCTGCTCTGTCAGTCTGCGAGATGCCGCCAACAAAGCCTGACCGGTTTGGTCATGCAGCGGAAATATTTCATGCTGGGCCTGGCGGTTCGCAATTTCTTCACTAAGTTCATGCGCGAGGCGCCGGAACTCCTCTTGATCGACGAGGATGCGTTTGACCAACTCACGGTAGTGAGGGCTGCGCTTGTCCACCTCTTGAATCATAACCTCCAGTTTTTGGATAGCGTTCTCTACATCTCTCAAGTTGTCTTGGAGTTGGTAGAGTGGAGTCCGGCCATCGGCTAATGGTTCAATGGGCGATTCTACTCGCATCGTCGGCGACGACACGGGCTCCAGGTGGCATCCGATGTCGCCGGGCGTTGGCCTTGACAACGACGCAGGTTCCGTCGGTGGGACGGTCTGGTCACGCCCAGCCAACACTGGACTCGGTGCTGGCTCTGTCATCTGTTCCGGTTCGGCTAGGCCCTGCTGGGCCGCCAAAACTGGTGGAACATCTGGCCGGTTATACACCGTGTACCGTCCATCCACAAATACCCGTAATGGGTAATCACGAAACTCGTTGAGCCGTGATGTGGTTGGTTGAGGTGCCGGCGGCGCTTCCGTTTGGTACGCCGCTGGGCCCGCTTGTGGGGGTTCGAGTACTGGATCAGACAGCGCCTGGCCCGTAAGGTCAGATTGTTCTGCTGAAGTAGGGCTGTGTGGCTGTTGGCCATATCCTCCATACCCGCCGTAAGGCGGTGGGTATGTATAGGGTCCTGGCGGATACATCCACGGTGGTGGGTATCGCCATTGGTTCGAGTCCGGCTGCGGCTGGTTCGAATGGCCGGCGCAGGATACGGTGGATATCCATAGTGAGGATGGTAGTATGGCGGCGGAGTGTAATGTGGCCAAGGTCCAGTATGGAACGGCATAGTCGTGACCGTTGGCCCGACTGCCACGGTTGTAAAAATCGGCTGATTCGACGAAGTGGTCGTTAGGTCACCATACAAGATTGGTTGTGGACCGGTACTTCCGTGAGGATGATGTCGGACCGTTTGACCCGACGAGGAGTTTGGCTAGCTGCCGACTGCTGCTGCGTTCATCAAGAGTCCAGTGTCATCATAGTATGTCCCTGGCGGCCAATATTGCGGCGGAATGGCTCGAGCTGGCAGAAGCTGGGCCCGCAGTAGCGGTGTGTCGGCCCGTGGACCGGGTCCGTGTGACATGTTAGCCAGCTGCTCAGCGGTTAGAATAGCTCTGATATTATGTACCTGTACATTTGGAGGCCGGTTAGACGACCGAGTTAAAGATCCGCCTGCCCGTGATTCCGGTCATGAGTAAGGGTGTGATCGGGTGCTTCGGTCGGAGTCATCGGAGCGATCTGTGCGTCGACGCCCTTCCATCGTTGTGTGGGACGCTGTTACAAGACGAATCACGCTATATTAGACCCCCACCTACTGTGTTAGTTTATTGTACAGGTTAGCTGCTTCTAAGTTAAAGTTAGTTAAGGTTAGTTAGTTTAAGGTTAGCGGCTCACGGTACGATCGTAGACTTAAAACTAATTAGAATTGCTATTATTAGTCTATTTATCGTCATTCTGTCCAGCCTTGTCAACCGTCTTGTCCGGTACACCTGGTTTGAGTGTACTGGACTTGTCCGATACGCCCGGTGAGAGCGTATTGGACTTATGCTTTTTGCTCGTTGAGCTTTTCTCAGATTTTGCTCGACCCGCAGTTATACGGGTGAGTAAGTCTTTATCTGCCTTGTCGTCAGCGACTATGTCCTCTTCTAGGACTTGCTGAGCGTAAGGGTTGCCTTAGGCTTTTTAGGCGACTTTGGTCTTTTTGGCTTCTCTGTGGGCGCCGGAGCCACTTTAGGCTCTTCGGTCACCGCTGGCTTGTCCATGGCGGATGTCCCCTTTTCAGGTTCCGCTGGGGCCAGTGTTGGGTCAATGACGGCTAATGGCTGACTTTGAAGCTTGGTCAACCCTGGTGTCTCGAAATCCAGTTTGGCTTTTCGAGGTCGACCTGGGCCACGCTTCGCTGTTGTAGCTGGGTCCGATGTATTTGGGTCAGGTGGGCCGTAGCCTGGGATTCGCAAAGATTTTAGCTGTTCCGCCACAAGTTTCTTGGACTGGCCCTTTCCGGGCTTTGTTTTTCCAGCAATGTCTCGAGTCTGCTCTGGGCGTGTGGGAACTCTGCACTTTGTCCCGGCTCTGCCTTATTGTTGCACCTTCCCGACTCTGTACCTTCAGGTTCGGCGTCGCTGCCCTTCTTCTTGGACGTTATTGTGCGACTTGGGCCGTCCGGGTTCAGGTACGGCTTCAGGCGATGAACAAAAACGGTGTGTTCTACACCGGTGTCTCGCTTTCGGATCCAGTAAGTGTTTGGCTTGGGTATTCCGATGAGATGTAGACGCCTTCGTACTTGTTTGGATTGGTCGGGTCGTCTATCATATTCTTTAGGGTGACTAAGTCCCGCTTCTTGAACTCGGCCTGCGACTTCTTTTTGTTATAGATGGCCGCATCCCTCAGGAACCCTTCTCCGATGCGCGTTTTCGTGATTTCATGCGCCCGGTTCAGGCGCTGCTGCATCCTCTGGACGTAACGTTCGCCGGCGCCGCCAAAGTTACGAATTCCGTCCCATATCGTTTGCATCTGGCGTTCAACTTGGCCCTGGCCTTCTGGATGATAGGCTGATCCGAAGGTCTGTTCGATGCCGAAGATTTTTGCCACTTTGGCGAAGGATTTTGACGTAAAATTCGTGCCTCGATCGGAGTGCATTATATGTGGCTTTCCGTACTTCAGTACAACTTCTTCGACAAGAAACTTCTTGAATTCCTTGGCCGAGTTTGTCTTGGTCGGCCGGGCTATGGTGAACTTCGTCATTTGGTCAACCACCACAGCAATGTACCGGTATTTCTTCGTTTGGGTCACCGGTAATGGTCCTTTAAAATCGGCAAAGACGCGGTACCAAGGTGCAACAGCTTCATTCGGCTGCAGCTTACCGTAGGTAGCTCGCCGCGGTACTTTGTCGATAATGCACGTCTGACATCGGTCGATGTAGTCGTGTATGTCGGGACATCGGGCTCCGGCTTTCCCGGTGTGGGCGCCGGCACAATGATGACCCGTATATCCGCCGTGCTGAATTCATTCCAATTTCCGTGCTGAATTCATCCCAATCGCTGATTGCGTTACAATCTGGAAGTAGAGGCTTGTCCCAATTATCTGTAGGGTACTCATCAGTGACTTGCAGCCTACGCACCTTTATGATGCGTAATAGGATTTTGCCTTGATAATCCTCGAAGTTTGGGACTTGATCCAACTCTTCGTGTGGGCCGTTATCATCGTCTCTTTCGAGTGGCCATCCGGATAACGCATCGGTGTTATCGCAGAATGTGCGTGGCTTGTACTCAATGGTGATGCCTTGTCCCTGTAAGGCGAGGGCTCATCGAGTAAGACGAGGGTTGGCCGGGCCGGTTAGACTCGCATCTGAGCAGTTAACGCTCTATGGTCTGTCCTTACTGTGAAAGGTCCATGGTTAATGTAGTGTTTAATTTTCTGGACGACCCATACTACGGTTTAGCATTCCCATTCGGTCACGCCGTAGTTTTTCTCAGATCCGTGTAATACGCGACTCGCATAGGCGATTGGCCTCGAGTCCTGGCTGAGAACGGCTCCGATGCCAGCGCCACTTGCATCACATTCCATGGTGGTCTGCTTGGTCGCATCGAATTTGGCCAGTATGGGCGCCTTGGTCAAGGCATCTTTGATTTTGTTGAATTCGGCGGCGTGTGCTTCAGTCCAGTCGTTCGTGACCGAACTTTCCTTCCGCAGGAGTTCATACCTCTTGGAAATCTTCTGGGCGTATCCCTGGATAAACTTCCGATAGTAATTTGCGAGTCCAAGGAACCAGCGAAGTTGACGCTCGGTCTTGGGCGGTAGTTTCTCGGCGATGGCCGCTACCTTCTTTGAGTCAGTATGGACGCCGTCCTTGTTGAGGATGTGTCCAAGGAATTGGAGTTTTTCCATTCCAAATTCGCATTTCGACGGTTTTATCGTGAACCTGGCAACTCGGAGGCAGATAAGCGTATTTCCGAACTCTTTCCTGAATTATGTGAAGGTTTTGCCGAAGAAAATTACGTCATCGATGCATGCCAAGACGCCGCCTTGCTTGCGAGCCGGCGTTATGATTTTGTCCATTGTCATTTGGAAAGTGGCTGGACCATTGTAGACGCCAAACGGCATTTGTTTGAACCGGTACATCCCTTCTGGAGTAACGAAGCTAGTACAGTCCATGGACGTTGGGTCCATTGGGATTTGCCAAAATCCGGACTGACAATCTACCTTGCCGTAATAGGCGTTTCTTGCACACTGGTCCAGAAGTTTATCTGGATTGGGCAATGGGTAATTGTTCTTTTTGGTCACCGAGTTCAGCTTTATGTAATTTATGCGGAACCGGGTGCTCATGGTCCCGTCGCCATTTTTCTTCAAGGCGAGAGCCATTGGGAAACTCCACGCTGCCATTGACGGTTCAATCACGCATTGGTCAAGCATTTCCTGGACGTGCTTGTTAATGAACTCTCGTCCCTTCCAACTCGTTCGGGTTGGGTTCATCTTAATTGGTGCAGCGTCGCCAACTTCTATGACGTGGGTCACTCCTTTGACGTCGTCGTGAAGCTTTTTGGACGTCGGGAATATGGCCCTGAGTTCCCATAAGTCCTGGCGGAGCAGAGCGGTTTGTCCTTCGGTCAGGTGGTCGCCAAAATGTTCGTTGGCGATGTTGGCGCGGATTTCACGCTCCACTTCTGGATCTTCCTCTCCGGTTTAGAGGGAGTTGATCTTGGCGTAGTCTTCATCCGAGATTTCCTCGTATGGCTCCACCTAGCCCATATTACTCCCTTCCGGAGTATATGGGGCTCCTTGGAGTTTGGAGTAGTTTGACACCAGTATGGTGAAACTACTGCCTTCATGCTGGACTCGTCTGTCGAGCATGGCCAGACTCCATTTGGTGTCCTGGCTTCCGAGGTACATTAGTTTCTGCTTTGGGTCAACAGGAAAATCAAAGCTGACCTGGACCGGGTCAATGGACTCCGGTGGGACTTCCTTTTTTACGGTTGCCCGGACCATAGCATGATCATTAATGATGCGGTACCGATTGGGGTTATTCCCTGCCACCTTTGCCATGATAAGGCATTGGGAATGGACCAATCTACGCCGTCCTCCTTGGTGTCTGGCTCAAACATGTCGCTGTAGTACATGTGGCCAATTCTTGCACCTCTGCGGAAGATTTGGTCTCGTGGAGACTTATTTTGGATCTGAATCCACGCATATTCGTCATGTCGAGTTTTGACCTCTGCCTCGATCGGTAACACCAGGCGGTGTGGTCGTCTCAGTGACCTGAAGTGGATTGGTCTGCCCGGGTCTATAGTCCGATAAGACCGGACCTTGATCCAGCAAGTTGAGTATGCTGGTAGAGTGTACCGCTGATGTACGAAGACAACTTCTCTCTCTTCCTTGAGGCAGTCGATAGGGCGTTCGGTCCGCAGTGTACGGATTACCGGCGCCTCGGCTCGGAGTTGGAGAATTTCTGGGTCATTCTCGTCAACACTTGATCACTCCGATGATTGGTTATCGGATTCCGTGTTCGATTGGTTATCGGAGTCCCGATAACCAGTCGGAGACTCCGATTGTTTATCAGAGTCCCGAATGACCGAGTATCCTTGGCCCGTCTTCCCGTCGTTCTCAGGTTTGCCTGCCGTAAACTGCCGGATATAGTCCCGGAATTCTGTCGGAGACTTCGGCAGCCGGATGTTCAGGGCACGACGCAATTCTGGCTCATTCATATTGGTCTTCAGAAAACGAAAAGTCATGGTGTCATCTAAGTTGGCGCGTGCCTTGAGAGTTAGGATTGCATCATAGTAGTGCTCTGGCGTCTCGAAACCGTGCCGGTAGGTACGGTGCGAGATATCTCCAAAAGCGTTGGCTTGTTGGTTCTCGTCGTCATATCGAGCGGCAAACTTCTGAAGCCACTCGTCGACTGTCCGACCATCGCCTTCTTCGCGGCTGGCGTGGCCGGTATACCATTCCTTGACCGGTTTGGACAAGGATGCGAATATGCGGCTCATAAAGTCCGTGTCCGGCTTGTTTTAGTCGGGCGATTGCTTACAGATTCTTCTAACCTGTGCAATCCACCCTTTCACAGCTGTTTTGTCGCCGTCGAAGGTTGGTAGGGTTGTCCGGGCATTGGCCTTTGCGTTGGCTTTTGCGTATGAGTCAGCCAACGTCTGCATGTGCATTAAGTCGTGTACTGGTGGACTGACCCTCGGCGATGGTGCAGGCGTTATGTGCTGTACCACCACTTGTGGCGGCGGTTGCGGTGCCTGTGGCACTGGGGCTGGCTGATGTCCTTGTTGAGGGTTCATCAACGGTTGAGGCGGGTATTGGATGGCTCCGTTGGACGCCATCCACCCATATGTTCCATTATCTGGATCTGGAAAATTGGAAATGGTTATTTGTCGAAAACGGTCGTGATCCTTGAATCGATCAAAGAAATGTTAATTTTGTGCGAGCTACAGATGAATAAGCAGCGAACTGCTAAATCCACGGCGTGCTATGCCGGTCACAAGAAGTTTACCTACCTCAACCACGCGCATGCCCAGGCGGACCAGTTCTGGGTGACGGTGTCGCCGCTGCCCCTGATGGTAGCGTGCCCGCTGCGGAGCCGAAGAATTGGAAGGCGGCGGAACGGGAGTACAAGCGACTCACCGGGCAGGGCGGCGTCCGCGGGGAGAGGCCGTTGAGTACGGTGGATGAGCGGCCAGTTCGCCAGACCGTTCGGGGAATCTGTAAGTAAACTAATAAGCTGTAAGCAATAATACTTTAAAAAATAGTAAATAATAATAACACTGAAGCATTATGCTGAAGAGTATATCAGTAGCATTATGCTGAATTTTCCCTTAGCCTTTCGAACAGAATTCGATAAAACGATGTAAATAAAACGGTGCAAAATACCTGCGTAAGAGTTTTTATTCGTCGCATAGCTTTGTGCTTTTTGCAGAAAATGCCATGTTTGCCAAAGATAACATTCCTTCACTGACCGACTTTGGGCCGTTAGTTGCACCGATTTCGAGACCGGATGAATTTGATTTTGTCTGTCGGAATGTCCAGGCTTCGATATCTCCAGTTGGATTCAGATGAGACAGAGAAATGGATGAAATTGTCAGATTTGCCGACACTCTAGCAGAGCAGAATGTTGCTTTATGAGGTAAAATCGATTCGAAATATTATTATTTTTGTTCACGTCGATCAGTATGGAAAGTATGGAAATGGGATATGTTCGAATCGGTGGCAAGATGAAATAATTGTGTTATTTTTGTGGTTTCCTATTACTGAAACTTTTGTTATTATTACTTTTGCAGTAATGCGATAGTTGTTAAATTCTAAGAAACAGCTGATATTGAAGTATGTGAAGTGAAATTTGGAAAATCCCCAGAATTTTTCAGGTCGAAGAAACCGATGAATCAACCGCAAGTCGGCTGTTGGAAACGCGCGTCATGTTCGTCACAACGGAAGATATTTCGGCGGACGAGGAACTGAAACTTGGATATTCGTCAAGTTACGCCAACATGATTCGTAACGCGAGCTGGAAATGTCGAGCACATCTGGAAAATATTAGGTCGGTGTCGATAACAAAGCGGGGATTATGAACGACCAAAGAGTTCGAAAATAGAGCGTGCGTTGACTTATTTTTATGCATGTGCTACAGTACTACAGAGTACAAACTCTCATACGATCCTTAGTGACCCTTACACCACGTGATGTAAAGTTTGCATTTCATGACAGATAATAGAAGGGGAAAAAGGTACGCGCGAGAATTCATTTAGTTGATCACGGGAAATAATCAGCTGTAAGCTTCCGCATTATCGTTATGGTTGATACACGGACATCTTAATGGAAGCAGTTGTACTACGTTAGCCAGTAAAATTAGCGTCAGTTCAAGAAAAGTCCTTTCTCATTGTTAATGCAGAGATTAAATGAAAAAGCAAATTAAACAAGTTAAACAAATTATGGTGTTGAATTATTGTTTTACAAATAGCACTCGAACCGCTTTTATCAGGGTTTTGTTTGTATACGTCAACAAATTTTGATTTTGTACCTGTCTCGACTGTTTACGACAACAGTTAGCTTTGTACTCACGAGCGGGAATTTGATTGCAGCAGCTCTTGTGAGTGATACCGGTCGGCCATACAGGAAATGTCGAGGAACGGGTGTCGTTCGACTGTAGGCGACGCCGGAGGCAATATTGTTGGCCGAAGCGTCCAGCTAACTGCCCTGCAGCGACGGAGATATAGAGCGTCCAGCGGATGTTGTTTGTGTGGAAAATGGTAAGCGTAACTGCGTGTGAGCGGAGAAGCGGCTCACGTACAGCGACAAAATCTTTCAAGGATTTTCAACACTTTGCGCCGTGGTGCAGTGGTACTGCCTACGCGGATCTAACGACGTAGCCGGGGTTCGATTCCCCCATCGGCGTCTTTTTCAGCCGTTTCTCGGTTTCCCTCGGATTGCGCCCTGCTTATATGGTAGCAGATCGTGGTTCGGTACGTCCACTTCGCCTATGAGACTGGTGTGCTAACCTCGAACAGGAGGAACAGAGCAAAAACGAATAAAAAGATAAAACGAAAGGAGGATGCGGTGAGCCGGAGCCGCCGCTTAAAAGGGTCGCTTAGTCTCGCTACGAGGACGTAGCGAAAGCTGCAAAGGGGGTGTGAGCGGAAAAGCGGCTCACGTACAGCGACAAAATCTTTCAAGGATTTTCAACACTTTGCGCCGTGGTGCAGTGGTACTGCCTACGCGGATCTAACGACGTAGCCGGGGTTCGATTCCCCCATCGGCGTCTTTTTCAGCCGTTTCTCGGTTTCCCTCGGATTGCGCCCTGCTTATATGCGTAAGTGGATAAAATAGTGAAATAATGTATTTGTAGTTTCGATGAAATGTTGTTGTTGTTTGGATTTTTGGACACAGTTTGACTCAGCTAGGCGAATTACAGTATTTCTAGGAATTTTTATGAGCCGGTAGCCACTACATGTGCTTCTTGATATGCAGCTACAATACTTTCCTTCAATTTGCAATTTAAAATCAAAATCTCAAAGGAAGGTTTGTTTTTCACTAACCTCTGCATGAGATTTAGCGTTTTACCGATTTAGCATGCAATCGTTCAGCGATATCGATGAGGTGTGCAACATTTGTTTTTAAAAACTGTTTTAATTTTTCACGATTAGTTGCAGTTGATAACAGCTCGTTGAATGACGGTGATCTATCCAGTTCTGACGATTCAGCAATGGGCACGGATTACAATTCCGCCCCGTCTGAACAAGAAACTCCTGTTCCGACCACCGCACCCAAAAAACTGGAGGAACGCGATGGAGCATATCAAACAGACCGGAACCTTTTCCTGTTATTGTCGGCGATGTTACCGGCACTTCCCCACCACGGTGCTCTTCCATTTGCACAGCTTTTAACACCAGAGCATTACCAACCCGGATCGGTATCTGGAACGCGACTGTCCCGCTTGCGATTTCAATGCCGCAAATTTTGCCGAATTGGTGGCGCATGTCTGGGTGCATTCTTCCTCCGGGTAGGAATGCCGGCCCTGTGTTATCTGTGGATTACAGAATACGCGACTGAAGATAGGGGTACAGTTTCAGTTTTTAACCTTTCACATTCCAAGCTTCAAATCAAATCTTTTCAAAACCGGACAGGGCTTTGAGAATTTGAAACGGTCTGAAATGGAAAATTAATTTTCGTTGAAGAAATTGGTCAGTGTCTATTTAATGAAATATAGTGGAATAACTGATGAAAATAACTGTTTGGTGTTTCACTGCTGATTACATAAAAAATATACTTGAAGTACGGAGAATAGTTTTTAATGAAGTTAATTTTTTAATTTCAAAATTCATTTCAAAAACTGCTCACAACTACTGTATTTAAATTGCAACCTTAACTGCAGGATCATATGCGTTTGGAACACCCTCAAGAAATGAAACAACTTGGCAAGCACAGCGATTACCTCTGCGCGGATTGCGGGTACACGTTCAAGCTGAAAGTCAACTACACGACCACATGAAGAAAAACGCGTCCATCACTCCGGCCGCGTTACATTTCGGCCGTGGTTCACTTCGGCCAGCACTCAATTCGGCCAACGCTATTTCGGCTACTGCTCATTTTGGCCATCTTTGGGTTTCTTAGGTTTCTTAGGATTCTTAGGTTTCTTATTTTCTTATTGTTCGTATTTCTTATTCTTTCGTATTTTTTCTTAGGTTTCTTATTGTTATGTTTCCTTAGTTTTTTTAAATTTCTTTGGTTTCTTAAGTTGTTTTATGTTTCCTAGATTGATTTCTTCTGATGAGGTTCTTTCAGGTTAGCGCATGTCCGAGACTTCTTTGATCGACCTTGTGGCGGTCGACTAGCTTTTCGTCAGACCAAAATGCGTAAGAGAGACACGATGGTAAGAGGAACGCGTAGAAAGGAAGTCACAAAATAGTACGTGCGAAAGAGATATAAACAAAGAAGTACAACGAGAAGTCGGCAGAGTAAAGGTTTAGGTAAGCCCTGTTTCCGCCGAAATTTTCTGTGGCCGAAGTGAGTGGTGGCCAAAATGAACGGCGTCCGAAAAGCATTGGCTTGAATGAACGTGGCCGAAATGAAAACGGCCGAAGTTATCGGTAGCCTATGAAGGAGGTAGATCCGCAGTTTGAGTGCTGGTACTGTGCGTGTATTTTTTATTCACCGGAAGAGTTCAGCGCGCACACGGCGGAGCATGTCGTTGATATTCCCGACGTACGATGCCTCCAGCGAGCATTTCGTGGAGGCCAATATGAAAGTGTGCGAGGTTTGTCTGGTGGTGTGCGGCGGGCAGCAGAAGCTGGCCGAGCACATTCAACGGAAGCATGGTCAAGGGAAAGGGCGGAAGAGGAAGAGAATGCCCAAATCTGCACCAAAAAGCGAAGGAGAAAACGCAGCATGCCGGTGTAACTTGCTGTTGTGGTTTTCACTGATGTAAGTTCATGCAACACTGCCGAAAGGAAAGAATAATTTTTCCCAGGATTTAACCCACGTTAAATAAATAAGGGTCATTTTGGAACTGGTAAATGGGTTATTATAGCAGTAACATGTGATAAGTGTACCGGACTACCGTTTGACTGCCGAAAAAAAATCAGAACACCTTTGAGTTTGTACAGGTTTTTCAGTTCACCAGGATCATCACACATTTCAATGAACTCATGGTTACCGATGAAAATGTATCTGACAATAAAGTGGAATCTCGCCATCAGAGTGCATTACATATTTGCAGCTTTACTGCCAGGGCCGATTTTTCGTTCAAATTATTTTGTCGCCTCCGTGCATTAAAAAATTACAAACCCTTTTCCGAATCCCTATTTAGACACGAAGTGGCATTTCAATTATCAGTATGGACAGCACTCAATATCAAATTCTGGTGATCTCCCTTCGCTCGTTCGGAAGGAGTATGCCATGTTTACTCCTGCCAGGATAATGCAGCAGATATTATAAGGGGAGACGGACATGCCGTACAGTACAGGCACACGAATTTGTATGCAGGCAGATCCGATCAGTGTGGTAGCTATCGCTGCAAGCACAAGGTAGAAGGATTCAAACTCGGAAAAGCTCGTTTATCCCGTAAATAGCCATTTTGCTCCAGGTGGAAATATTCACATAGCGCAGATCGACCTCCTCCCAGAATTTCGGTCTTCCGTCCGAGTGAAACCCACTGTACCTGCACAGACAGTAAATTTGCGTTAGAATGTGATCACTCATTCTAGTACTGGAGCAGCAGGATGACATTGTGACCCCAATCGTCGTCGCAGGGCGTACGCAGTAACGTAGCTATCAGCTATTTTGACGGCTAATAGGGAGTTAGGGACCTTTGATTTCCTAGAGTAGTGACCTGACGATGTTTGCCCGCTGTGTCTGATTGTGAAAACTGCCCGAGTGCCTCTAACGTACAGAAAAAGGGCAACCTCACCGCAACAGCTTGTTGCTCCCTCTTCGAGCAAAGACTTAAGGCAAAGAATCTGTGTTCTTAACACGGTGATGATAGAAAGCGCTAATAATAAAATTAAAATTATTATAGCGGCATCATCGCCTTGTGTACTCATGTGTCCACTGTACGGTACTTCTCAGGCAAAATGGGATCGGTAGTACAGTAATTTTATTCCTCCTTATGACTTACAGTAGAAGATAGTTGCGGATGGTGTGCCAGTCATCGGGATAATCAAGGGTGCGCAGCCAGCGCGCGTGGACCGCCGTGACCTTTGCCAGCATGTCCGGCGTCACCGGCGGGAAGTTGTCGTTCAGCGCGCACATGAAGCGACTGGTTATGCCCATTTCGCTGTTGCTACAAGACAGCAGCAGCTTGGGAATAGTGATTTGTAGTTCGTCTATGGCCAGCTGTGGTGGCGAGATTGGCCGCTCGGACAGGCGCAGCATCCATTGGCGCTCGTGCGCTGGAAGAGGACGCCTGAACGCGCCGAAATCTGGCTTATAGATGTACCCTTCCTCAAAGACGTCGTACATTTGCTGACCGAAGAGAATGCTAACTTTCCAGTTGTACAGCAAGATAAAGTCGCAAATGTGCTTGTTGAACAGCATACGAACCACTGCCCCATGCGTCAAACGCGACCGCTTCTGCAGCGAAAGAGCTTTTGGTTCCATGTCGATATGGTCTCTGAGGACAAGTATAGGCAAATTGATTTCCCTGGAACTGAGTATCCCTTCTATACAATCATGCACGGCGCGCGGCGGGAAGACTCGCAACACGGTGAGACTGATTGTCGCTGAACTGAGGAAGCGGGTAAGGAGGGAGGCCGCTTTGAAGCAGGTGTCGGTGTCGACTTGCAGGTGCCAGCAGCTTTCGAATGAGATGCTGACGTGCTCCTTCATCCTGGGATGGCTCAGCAGCATCTGCCATATGGCACACACCCTGTCAAGACACACACGTACACACACTCCTTGTTAATTAAAACTACAACAATTCGCTAGAGTAGGCAGTAAAATCAGTTCAAACCTTTCAAAAGGCCGCTTCGTTTGTACTCTTCAAGAGTCGATCTGTCTTCTATGCGCAACGTACATACGATCGATTACCTGTATATTCCCCAATCCCCAGTACTCTTTCCGTTTCCTATTGCATGGTCTCTAATATTAACACCAACCCGATTCTTTTATCCTATCTGTAGTCTGGGAAGCAGTTCTGTTTCAGTACCAGTCTAGTTGTTCTTCGTCAGCATGGATGCAGTAGCTGAAGCGTAATGAAGCTAATTTGTAATTAGAAATAATTCTATAGGCTACAAAAGGCCGGCCTTTTTGGCATCGGCTTAGTGGCTGTAACTAACTATCAGGATAGTGGATTTCGACCCGGAAGTGTACGGTTGCGGCGCCTTACAAGAGTGGCAGCAAATGAGCGAAGCCGATCTCCCGACTTTCGCACTCGAAAATATATAAAGCAATAATTTTGGCGCTGAAATAACCGTGGCGTTCGCTTCTGTCATCCGAGTCTGACTGAACATAATACGAGTATTATGAGGATATTTACGCTTTTCGACGTGCACTCAGCGAAGCTTATCGATGTACCGGCTTTCAACTTCTGCTTCCGGAAGAGCGCTGGTTACATCTGAACCACAGCGACCCGCTATCGTCACTGCCTTTCGAAAGAAATACGCGACCACAAGGAAAATCTATACCGTGTGGCCTTCATTTGGGAATGCACGTCCAAATGGGATAGGATGTCGCTTAGTAGCCAAGGCGTCAATTCAGTCAGCGTCGGTGCATCAATGTCGATACCTGAGGAAAGAGTACATTTTAAGCTCATGCAAGAATAGAAAAAACTTCTTCCTACAGTTTAAAGACTACGGTGACGGTACGCCCCCTCGTTACAACCTTTCGACATACATGGAATGATTGTGATTTGTGATCATCTGTAGTACAGTGCGAAGGCTTAGTATTATTTCCCACAACCATAATTTGCGGCAAAAACGACAAAATCCTCAGATCTCTGCTTGCCTGCAGAGGAAGCCCACTCCAAGTAAAAGTCCTGCGGAATCATTTTCAGGAGAATCGGCTCTACCGGTTTCTGATCACACGAGATTCCACAGCAGGTCAACCAAACATAAGTACAAGTTACAGCGTAATTACCTCTGCCCGCCTGTTGGCTGCATCCTCATCGGAGTCGCGCGCCTGGTTGTCAGCATTGCCAGTATCCCTCTTCGGAAACCTGTTGGAAGATGCCCACTTACGCATAGCCGTTGCGCGACGGTTGGGAGCCCCGGTCTGCGAACAGCATGTATGCCGTTGCGGTAACGTAGTGGACAGCCTGGGACACCATGGCTTGGTTTGCAAGTTAGCGAAAGGAAGGCATGGCGTTCACGCCGTGTTGAATGACGTGACAAAGCGAGCCTTGAACTCTGCACGAATGCCATCGTCCCTCGAGCCGCCGGGACTGGACAGAGGAGATGGCAAAGACCAGACGGAGTTACCGTTTTCCCTTGGAAAAATGGAAAACCGTTAGTATGGGATGTGACAGTGGCAGACACGTTCGCTCAAACGTACATCGCCCGGACGTCACGGGTGCCGGGAAGTGCAGCGGAAGCACGCGAAAACCATAAGCTAGGAAAGTACGATGGACTTGCAGACCGATATGTAGTACAGCCGATCGCGTTCGAAACCACGGGCACATTTGGACCACTCACAAAGAAATTCTTCAAGGAGCTGTCGCGAAAGATCAGCGATTGTACTGGTAATCCTCGGTCAGGAGAGTTTTTGCGCCAGAAAATCAGTATTGAGATACAACGGGGAAACGCTGTCTCTGTTCTTGGAACGTTTAACGACATGGTTGACAACGAGAATGTGTTTTTTGCTTTTAAGCTAGCTAAACGGGAGTAATGTATTGTACAGATCATGCCGTTACGGTGTTACCGCAAAAAATTATTAAATTGTAAAGTTACAGCGTATGGGCACTTGTATGGGACGCTACATGCTGGGACACGGTAGCTGCATCGCATGTCCGGGCTAGTGCAAATGCATCAGATAGTGTTGCACATTTGGCCGAAGACTGTAAACGTCTAAATACTCCTAAAGAATAGGATATCTTTTTTATTCCCTGGCGGTCGAGACTTTTGGAACTTTTGGTTCGACATTTATGGAGCTTATTCGTTTCGTTGCAGAAGGATTCGCGACGCGACAGGGGAGCCTCGTTCTACTGCATTTTTAAAGCAGAGATTAGGCCTAGGTGTTGTAAAATGAAATGCTGCTGCTGTTCTGGGCACTTTGGGTATGCGTCCTAAAATGACTGACGGCGCCAACGATTTTGGTTGTTTTTACAATGTTTAAATTTAAATCATTTTCGAATAATTTCGCGTATGCACTTTTTGTTATACTGATGGCTTTTGCCCAATAAAGGAGTTACAACCGTATGAGTAAATAAAGCGTAGACAGATCCAGGAGCAGAGTGCAGACATAACTAGTCAGTTTAAGGGAACGCAGCTGTCGATGCCTAACTTACATGTATATCACGGTGCAGCAGAAGTCACTGCACTGCGATATTTATTCGGTATTTTAATAAGTGGAAGCCTTGTGGCTTGTACAGAGTACTAACTTTCAGTTTGTTTCGAGCCAGTAAAGCGCTTGGATCGACACGGGCCGTCTGTCTCTGTTATTAGAAACACTAGTACAGCTGTCTCGTTTATGCCTCGTTCGGCAATACTTACTTATTTACTAAAGAAACTAATACATTCGGTAAGATGTTGTCTGAAAGGGCACAGGAGAAGCGGTCCACTCAGTTCCTGAAGAAGAGAATCAGTATCGCTTTGATGCATGCGTTCAGGAAACGTTTTGTGTCGGTAAGAGGCTGGATGAAGTGTATTGTGTATTATGTGCTGAATAGGGATGGCAAGACTTCACCAGACTTCACTTCACTAAACTAAAACTTCGTCAAAACTTTTAGTCACCAAAATTCACTAAACTAAAATCTTTAGTTTCGCAAATTTTAGTGACGGTTAACCACTAATTAGTTTACTAAAAAAATTTTGCCATCCCTAGTGCTGAAATTAAATTACTCAACTAAAACGTACTGCGTGAATTAGCGTTTAACCAGTGTTCATTGTATCATACAAATTGTATGACCCAATAAACTGCCCGCTGCCTTATCTACTGTACAAGTACGTACGTATGTGTAGAAAAACCAAACGCCTAAAAATGACACTGACGACAGGCTGCGTACCGGCTTCGCAAGGCATATTTTCGCTGGTGCGCAACGCTAAATGATTGTGAATAGGCGGAAGAAGGGCGCGGCTGGCCAGATGAGTTTCCAGGACTGTCGACAAGGTTCTAGCCATCCAGTGCGTCGATTCCGCGTCGGTCGCGAGTCCGACGACGACGAACACGCAGCCCTCCGCTCCGATGCGCAAATGAAACCGGCAGCAGTCCCACAGAATTGCATCTCCTAACTTTATTTTGTGTTTAAGAGCGGCACGGACATGCTTGATGATGCGAAATTTATCGGAAGGTTCGCTGAGAAGGGCGCTGGCCTGGGGGAAGGGTATCCAGTGCTTGGTGTACAACAAACCGCTGCGGCGCTCCAGCAAGGGAGGTCCGCTCGGTGGCAGCTCATTGGACACTTGGCTGTCGAGGACCACCTCAACACATGGACGAGCTGTGTGTGCAGCACATGCAGTGGCGTTGCTGCTGCTGGACACGTCGGTTCGGATGCCAAACATCATAGAACCCAAGTTAAGACATCGTATACAACCATGAATTTCATCCAGCATGACGGCTGGGCGGAAACAAAACGGTCCGTTGTCTTCGTCGCGCAGTGCCGCAAATATTGTGGCATTTCGACTGTACAGCGCGTCACGATACGTCGGTAGTGGCCAGACGTCCTCCATGTGCATCCAGCGAGCTTCGGCTGTTGTAGAGTTGAAGTGGATGAAGGCGCGCTCGCCTTCGATATCCTGTATGTACCCTAGCCACCAGGTGTCGCCATCGCAGGCGCTTTCATCCGGATGGCGGGTCATCCGGACGGCGACAGTGTTGCGATGGCTCATTTGACTGGCATCCGCCAATAAAGGCTGATATATACACCGCGGCATCGCGTCCAGGGTACCCGGTCGCCAAAGGACCTGAAGGAAAGTTGCAACACTTTAATACTGATACCTGTACTTTCATTAGCAGCTCATGTTTAATTACTTAAATTAGTTACGCTTGTAAGCAGATTCAACAACAACAGCGCAACAGCGTACGTACCATTACACCATACTATAAAATTAATATGCCAGTTGCCAGGTACATTGTACATTACAATAATTCGTATAACACAATCTCTTCAAATTGACATTCACGAGAATCCTTAACTATACTTTACACTACAAGACAGTATGATTGAAATGAAGTAAATTAATTTATTGAAGCTGATCAGATTGCTACCTATTTTCATGCAACGTAGTAAATCATTCGGGGCCGGGAATGCCTTGTTTTGTTATGCAAATTATGGCGCACAAAGCTTCTTCACAGTGGTCTTTGCCGCAGTTACTGGAAAGTGGCGGACTAGCCGAAAGGACTGGGAACGGAAAGCGCAACGGTCGTCTACGTTATCACCCTTGCTGTCTCGCATACAGAAAGCAGTGTTCAAAGCACTGATGTCACAGAGATGTGCTGCTGTTATATATTTTTGTTAGCACAAGCCAGTCGCATCGAGCAAATTTTGTAACAAAACAGAGCTAGTTGCAAAAAAAAAATCTTTGAAAATTGTCCGATCCATCCATGGTTCCGAGGACGGAAACCGCGTATCCCCGTTGTATTTCGATCGACAGGCATTGGCGTAGGAATTCGGGGCGAGGTTCACCTGCAGTGTGCTGCTGTAGCCACTTGCCGATTTGCTTTTTAGAACGGAAGCCGACTTACCCCCGAGGCCGTGAATTTCGAAACCTAGCAGAGCAAAAATTCGTCTGCCCTGAAGATACGCGTACAATCTCGTTTTCTTGTCTTCGGCCTGGGCGGCAGCGGATTACGCGGCCGCGGAAGTGGGCCTGATGTGCGATGGGCGGACCTGTCCACGCAGGTAACGTCCCAAGCCAAACACATACCGCGTTTCAGGCGAAGGTGATGCACCCGTCAGGGCGACGATCGGACGAATAGGGTGGACCTCGGGGTTCGAGCTTCGCTGCGATGCCCGCTTTACAGCAATAATAAGTGGCAATAAGTGGGCAATAAGTGGCACACAATGCTGTTCAGGCCGCCGTGGCGCGCATGTCTCCCAGTGGAGTACAAGCATGACAGCCCGTGGTGACCGTACACGTCGAATGCTTTATGGCATTTTGCGTATGGGTGCGGAATCGCGGATCACAAATGACTGCACCAAGTCTAATCCCGACCGATTTCTTCAAGGAGTAATCTTCCAGAAGGTTGCCACTTGCCAATATGCGCTGAAGGCAAGGCATTCAGCCAGATACCGGCTTCCGGACTGGACTGTGCCAAGAGGCGTTCTCAGCTAACTTCGTCGTCGCGGAAGGTTTCTAGCAGGGCTCATAAAGATAGTTACAGAGCGGTACGTCCCATAGCTCCATAGGTGCTGTTTACCATAGTTCCACACAGACCTGGGCAGTTAAATTTAATAATTTAACTTAATGTGAGTTTTTTTCGAGTTAACGAGTTATCTTTTAATGGGCAATACCCACCAAGATAACAACGACTGCAAGCGCCGGTACACTACTTGCTAGTTAAAATTTAAACATTAAAAAAACAACCAAAATCTCTATCTTCTCGTGGATTAAAAAGTAACGTGCTTAAGACAGCCGTGGCATTTCCTTTTACAACAGCGAGACTGAAGCGCTGCTTAAGGAAAGCAGTAGAACGCGCTTCTCCGGTTAAATCACGAATATTACGGCCCATGAAATGCAACAGTTCACTCAGAGTGGGGCAAAATACTCCCAACGTCTCAATCGCTAAAGGGTAAATAAAGTAACGAGTTATAACTTTGAAACTAAACTCGCCAGGACGAAAACTCAAAAGGCAAACTCTAAAGTCGAAATACGAAGTATAGAAAATGTTATAAAAAATTTGCTCTGAACGCGGATCGCTAAATTTCCTAATCGGAGCATGAAAATAAATAACGTCAGAAAATTATAACCTCCGAACGTAAAAAATTATGAACGTCAAACACTGAACGTTAGAACATGAGATAGACACAACGTAAAAAATTAAGAACGTTAGAACGTCTGAACGTGAAAAATTAAGAATTTCAGAACGTTAGAACGTCAGGAGGTCAGAACGTCCGAAAATCAGAACTTCAGAACGTGCAAATTTAAGAACATAAGAATGTCAGAACATCAGAACGTCTGCACTCTGAACGCAAAAAGTTAAGAACGTAAAACGGCCGTAAAAGTAAAGCACGTAAGTAAGTAAATGCGTCTTAGTTACGAGTTATAAAGTTTTTAAAATCTAATTCCCTTATTTTATTCACCTTGCGAGTTTAAAAACTTTATAATTTTTTCCAATACGAACGTCCCGAGCGCGAATGCGCGAGGCTACCTTTTTAGTATAAATTGTTATTACATACAGTGATCCATGATGTTTAAGGGCTGAAGCTGCGGAATATAGTATGCGTATCTGTTTTCCATCTCCATTTCTCAGCGAATAACACGGCTGCCACGCTACATAACGAATGCTTTTTATCAGCATATTCACAAATGTTACTTGTACTTCAGTAATGAAACAGTTTTTTATTATTTTCCGAAAACAGAGCTCTTGGGAAGCGGAAGGTAGACAGGGTACTCCTTCACTGAGTTTGTGCAGTGGCTGAATATTCTCTCTGTACGAGTACTTTACTGATTGTGAACTTAGTGAGTTGAATTATAGCGAATGGGCCTCGTAACTGTTCCTCTGGCGAGATGTTACGAGAAATTTAATCCAATGTTACAAATGAATACCGTGTGTTCTATTTTTTATACGCGTACCAGTAAAGAAAACCTGAAAACCGAGACAAATCCTCAATTGAAAAGAAATTCCGATGCCATGCCAATGACTTACCCCACTCACGATACAGGAGTTCGTCCACGGTAAAAAAAGATCAAATTCAAATAAGACTATAAGAGGCTGAGATCTGGATAACACTTTTCTTTTTCAGTCTATTAAAATAGATCCTCGTAAATCATAAAGTAGGGGCTTTGCGTTGCAACTTGTATGGCACACAAGTTAGCATCCATCCACACAAGTAAGACTTCCGGCCGCCGGAAGTTGGCTTGTGCGTATGGCTCAAAACGAGCTGGTGTGCGGCACGCGTGTAGATGTGACCACATCGCGCATACACATACAAGTAGCCTACCTGACTGCTAGATAATTTTCAAAACTTGCACCACTCTTCCTTCGTTTGCCTCTCAACAGAACATCCCAACCTGCATACAAACATGGAGGAGAAATTTACGAACTTTTAGATACCTGACAAGTGGATGTTTGTAACCTATCAAGAAAGTTATGGCTGTTTTGGTTTCTCGTAGACATAGCATGGGTCCGTGCGAGGAGGCGTTGCTTGCATCCTTATGCTAAGTCTACGAGAAACCAAAACAGCCATAACTTTCTCGGTTTGCCATAGATATCCACTTGCTAGGTACCAAAAAGTTATGAAAATTAATTCTCTATCTCTTGGTATATCGATTGGGAAGTTCTGTTAAGAAGTACTTAAACGAAAGACGAGCGTTTGAAATTTCGAGATCCACTGGCAGTTCGATCAGTTTCGTGTATGTATGCATGCTAGAGGGTGGAGTTACATACGCGTAAGGCCCTTACGAGTATGCATTTTTGGCACCGCCCTCACACAAGCACACATCTACTTAGCGCGGCGGCGAATCGCCGCGTTGTGGGTTCGGCCAGGGCGTTACTTATATTTAGGACTGTCAAATATCAGCAGCCCGCTTGTATCTGCGGCACGACTGCTGCGCACGTATCGGTTACTCATCTTTCCGCTATGACTAAAGAGAAAAAAATTGAAACATGTTCCCACCACTGATAACGGATACACTCGTAGAAATAAACACCAAATCTGACAGCACCGTGAATTCTGCAATAAATCTGCCTTCAGTGCCATTCACTACCATGGACAACGCAACACAACAAGCGCAAACTTACACAGAGATTTTGACCACCCATATTAATAATTATCAGATCATTGACAACACTTGCCTAATGCGCCGCCGTTGGAACGATGTAATGTGGCTTTATGTAGAGTTTTTGCGCATGCGCTCTGAGTGCTCTGACTGCTCTCCCTAGTCCCTATCTGTATTAACCAAAAAATCTTATGTAAAAGGCTCCTGCTTGTAGCTGACGTCAGCACGAGTCTTGAGGCTACGCAGGTTATCGAAGCACGTACATTACGCTCGTACGCGTATGAGGACTTAACAAATTTGAGTTCACTGGGAGGTAAACTATGGGATCAACTGTGCGGTCGATATCAGCACAAGCCATTTAGTTAAGTGTGATGCGCACTATTGCGTACAATGACTGCCTTTTCTGCTGCAGCTAGCTTTGCGGCTGTCACGTTCCACCAAAAAACGCTAAGTCTCGTAGGTTCCTGACAAACTTAAAAAACGCCTGGGTTCGGATTAAGTTGAATTAGGGTATTCATAAAGAGCTCACAGTGCCAACGATTGCCATTTTTTAACTTTGTCAATATCGCCAGTTAATCAAAGATCTCCATTCAGTTAAAAAATATTGTTATTTAATATAAATATATCAATTGCAAAATATCAATTCAATATTTTCTATATATTATTCAATATATATTATTCAATATATCATTCAATATTTTCTATACGTTCCTGCCATTTTTAACTTTGTCAATATCGCCAGTTAATCAAAGATCTCCATTCAGTGAAAAAATATTGTTATTTAATATAAATATATCAATTGCAATATATCAATTCAAATTTCAAAAAATACATCACAGTGAGATACTACACATTTTGTACTTACTAATTTCCACTGTCAATTATCAGCAACACTAAAAATGCTGAGCTGTGACTTTCAGAAAATCGAAAAGTCCGCATACACACACGAGCGTAGGATGCGCGCGTCTATGGCCTGCGTAGCCTCAAGACTCGTGCTGACGTCAGCTACAAGCATGGTTTTTAAATAATATATATGCCAGCACGGATGAATAATGTCTTAGGATTTAGCATGTAAAAGGTTAACTGCATATGTAATAAATAATATGGCACGATGTTTATTACATTAAGGGAGTGGGCCGGTACATGGTACGTATTATGCACGAAAACTTTCACTTTCGCGCACTCCAAACACAGTTTTGTTTCGGTTTATGATATTTTGTAGCCAGAAGATTTGTATACACTGGATCATTGACAACACTTGCCTAATGCGCCGCCGTTGGAACGATGTAATGTGGCTTTATGTAGAGTTTTTTGCGCATGCGCTCTGGAGTGCTCTGACTGCTCTCCCTAGTCCCTATCTGTATTAACCAAAAAATCTTATGTAAAAGGCTCCTGCTTGTAGCTGACGTCAGCACGAGTCTTGAGGCTACGCAGGTTATCGAAGCACGTACATTACGCTCGTACGCGTATGAGGACTTAACAAATTTGAGTTCACTGGGAGGTAAACTATGGGATCAACTGCGCGGTCGATATCAGCACAAGCCATTTAGTTAAGTGTGATGCGCACTATTGCGTACAATGACTGCCTTTTCTGCTGCAGCTAGCTTTGCGGCTGTCACGTTCCACCAAAAAACGCTAAGTCTCGTAGGTTCCTGACAAACTTAAAAAACGCCTGGGTTCGGATTAAGTTGAATTAGGGTATTCATAAAGAGCTCACAGTGCCAACGATTGCCATTTTTTAACTTTGTCAATATCGCCAGTTAATCAAAAGATCTCCATTCAGTTAAAAATATTGTTATTTAATATAAATATATCAATTGCAAAATATCAATTCAATATTTTCTATATATTATTCAATATATATTATTCAATATATCATTCAATATTTTCTATACGTTCCTGCCATTTTTAACTTTGTCAATATCGCCAGTTAATCAAAAGATCTCCATTCAGTGAAAAATATTGTTATTTAATATAAATATATCAATTGCAATATATCAATTCAAATTTCAAAAAATACATCACAGTGAGATACTACACATTTTGTACTTACTAATTTCCACTGTCAATTATCAGCAACACTAAAAATGCTGAGCTGTGACTTTCAGAAAATCGAAAAGTCCGCATACACACACGAGCGTAGGATGCGCGCGTCTATGGCCTGCGTAGCCTCAAGACTCGTGCTGACGTCAGCTACAAGCAGGAGCCTTTTAAATAATATATATACAAGCCAGCACGGATGAATAATGTCTTAGGATTTCGAGCATGTAAAAAGGTTAACTGCATATGTAATAAATAATATGGCACGATGTTTATTACATTAAGGGAAGTGGGCCGGTACATGGTACCAAATTCGTGTACATGCACGAAAACTTTCACTTTCGCGCACTCCAAACACAGTTTTGTTTCGGTTTATGATATTTTGTAGCCAGAAGATTTGTATACACTGGCGTGAAAACCGTTTGTGCGCGCAACATCCGGTTCGGGAGTCATGGCTGTTAGAAAATTCCGAAAGTTTAAATGTATTCAGGTGTACCAAAAGTCTCATTATGGACCGATCTCCGTCAAATTTTGCACGTAAAAGTCGTAAATGCGCATGTCCATAAAGATCGTTTTTACACCGATCCAGACTTCCATGATTTTTTTCAAATTTTAAAATGAATTTTAAAATTTTTGAAATTCATTTTAAAATTTGAAAAAAATGCTAGAACAGTGGATCGGTGTAAAAACGTTCTTCGTGGTTGTGTGCATTTACGTGCAAAAATGAGGAGATCGGTCCATATCTTTGGTACACCTGAATGATTAAACTTTGGAATTCTAACACATAACTCAGAACCGGATGTTCTGCACAAACGATTTTCACCCAGTGTATAAATCTTCTGGCTAGCATAACCGAAACAAAATGTTTATGAGTGCGCGAGTGAAAGTTTTCGTGCATGTACTCTTGAAGTACCAGGCCACTGGAAAGGCATGAACAAAATAAACAGGCGTGAGCAGAACCTGTTGTTTTTGCTAATTCGCAGTTCGCTAATTTCAGTGACAATTCGATATAATAACACATAGTAACAATCTGGGGATTTACAAACAGCCCATGTTAAGCTAATGTCCACCATGGTAACAAGCTTCTGAGTGACCACTGGATTGTGGGTAGTGGCCTTTCCAGAAAATGGATGATGCAGGAACACTCTCGACACTGACAGGATTCTGTAGCACTTTAGAGCGTGCAGATTGGATGTGTGGAACGGGAGAACATTCGCTCCATCGGCAAAGTGTCGAGGACCCTTGTTACTTAGTTAGTATTCATATAACCAGTTTACGGGGTCTACATCCGTACACACCCTTTTGCAGCGAAAGCTTGTTACGCAATGCACACTTCGTAACGGTTGATCGCATTGGTCCTAGCCGTTTAGAAAACTATGAAATTTAATAAATAAGAAAATCTCAGAAATCCTAAATAACCCTAAGAAAGCCTAAGAAACCCAAGAAGTCTAAGAAACTTAAGAAACCTGAGAAACATAAGAATACCTAAGAAACCTGAAAATACCTAAGAAAACCTAAGAAACCTAAGAAACCTAAGAAAATCTAAGAAACCTAAGAAACCTACTAAGAAACCTAAGAAACCTAAGAAACCTAAGAAATATCGTATATGAAAGAATACGAGGTATACCAATCACGCTGGTGGGATTGACTGCGATTAATTTTTGCACAAGTTTCTTAAATTTTCAATATTTTCTAACGTGCCGATGCCGAAGGCCGCGGTCTGTCTCGGTTTTTCCGAACGGTATTCATATAATTATGATTTTTTGGTATCTGTATTATAGGTATAATTCTAGGAGTACTAGTTTGTACAAGTACTTATATAGTACTGTTGCTACGGTGGTACCTATGAGTATGGCCACAGTAGTGCGATTCCAATGGAATTCGTGATTCTCGCCGAGACTGCAGGCTGGCAGTGTGTCATTTTGACGTCACTAACAAACAGGGATTTTGGACTGCGCCAACAGAGAATTATGCATTCGCTCTGTTTCTGTTCGTGTGTTGAAATTTTTGAGGCGGTAATGCAATACCGTGGCCGTAGCATTAGCGCTAAATTTAAGAATACCGTAAACATTTTTATCACACATTTTTTGGTCGTTTGCAGAGAATGGTTTTCTGTTAATTTTCATGTATCTATCCAATAAATCAACAACATAGTTTGCGAGCGCGCACTGTTTAAGAAGTGCCGGGATGAGCACTTGTTGTTATGTGTCTACGATGACTTCCCGTCGCACCTGAGTCGCACGGCTCCCAACCGCCCCAGGGCACCATCCCGGCGAGAATCATCAATCCCCATTAGGTGCCTGTGGAATTACCCAGTTGCGCCAGCCAGCGTTGAGCACGTACGTGCTGGTGTTTGGCGTATCGCAGGACTGCATGTTATTGTGAGACACTCAGAAACAGCGTTCCACCCTTTCCAAATCGAAAACACTTACTGTCAACTTGCTCGCTCGAAGCCTC